CTTCATCCCGAAACGTCAGCCTTTCTGCTCCTATGATGCTGCTTGGCCTGCTGTGTTCATCCAGCCCTGCACCTTGTTGTCTCAGGTTACCCATCGCACTGCCAAACTTAAAAGGCGCCGGTCGCTGGTCTTCGGCGCATGCGCATTGACCGGACTACCGCGGCGGAAATACCGGCATCTTGACGGGAGCATGCGCAGTGATTCGAGGCGGTTATATCAGTTCCCCACTCGTGCCGTTCGGAAACCCAACCCTTCCACGCGACGTGGTCGTCATAGTTACCGTCTCCATGCCACCGAGAGAAGCGGAAAGTGCGCTGTTTAAGGTACAGTAGCAGCTTCTCCGAGGTCCAAGGTTTTGGTCGTGGTGGGGAGGAGCATTGACCAGGCAGATAGAGGGAGAAGGTAACCGAGGAATTTCACAATATTGAACTATAAAGATGGCAAGCCATAAAGCTTGAAATGGTCCATTCGGCCCATTGAGTCTACTCTGCCAATCAAATGGAGCATGGCTGATCTGATATTCGTCAATTTCACCTTCCTGCCCTTCTCCCATAACCCTTGATTCCCTTTACTGATTAAAAATCTTCCTTTCTCAGCATTGAATAATTAATGTTATCCGCCTGTATAGCCCTCTGTGGTAAAAAATTCCACAGATTCACTACTCACAGAGGAAAAAAATCCTCAATTTAAAAACAGGCGGCCCCTTACTCTGAGATTATGCCCTCTGGTCCTCGACTCTCCCACAGTGTGAAACAATCTCTCTCTATCAAGCCCCCTAACACCTCACACGCAACACCATTAACCATAAGTTCTGAGGAAGGGTCACCGGACCCAAAACGTTAACTCTGATTTTTTTTCTTCACAGATGCTGCCTGCTGAGCTTTTCCAGAAACTTTGTTTTTGTTCTTGATTTACAGCTTCCCCAGTTCTTTCGGTTTTTATTTATGCACATAACCATGTCTTGTTGACTTTATTCCAGCAGAGCGGACCCATTTTTTCCTTTTCACACCTTGATTTGCACCCTTTTTACATTAGTTTTGGGAAACTTGGTCAGCATAGACGAGTTGGCCCAAAGGGTCTTACATCTCGGAAACAGACCCTATGACTATCTCTATTTCTCCTTCACTATGTTAGCAACCCCTTTCTTTAGCTCGGAGCAGTCTTGCAATCTGTTCCACATGCTCCCCTCTCCCTCTGTCTACAGTTTTCCTGTACCTTTCAGTTTTTAAGTATTACATTGTACTTCAAACGTTAACTAATTTTCTGTCTCCATAGATACGGACAGACTGGCTGAGATTGTCTAGAATTTTCTGTTTTTATTACCTCTAAGAATCTTATGTACTTCAATAATGTGAAATACTGAATTTTGGAAAACAAAACTAGGACAAGCAAGGTAACCTAAATGGTCTAAATTTAAAAGAAACATCCAATGGTTCACATACAAACCTCAAGGATGGCAGGACAAATTTATTGACACATTCATGATCCTGGGCTTATTTTTAAATTAAACACAAGGGGCAAAAGCAAGACAGTTATGAAAAACAGTGATTAAAATTAATAGTACAAAAGATTTATGATTGATTAAACCTCAACTAGAGAACACTGTATCTCACTCTTGGCAACATACTTTTAAAAACGTGAAAGGATTGGAGAGGTTGCGTAGGAGAATGGCACCAGAACTTCAGTTGTGTATCAAAATCCAGGGAGAGAGGATTTTTTTTTCCATAAAGCCAATTATTAATATGTAGAATGCAATGGCTAAATGGATGGTGGGAGCTGCTGCCAGTAACTTTCAAAAGACAATTAGATATCTCCTCTGAAAGAAAGAAAATGAGGGAAAGAACAAGCAAAATGGATTAATTGCGTGACTGTTACAAAAAAAACCTCACACATTGGGTTGAATGGCCTGCTTTTATTCTATGAGATTCAATGAAAATAGTGGCTAGTTGTTTATTTTAAAAAAATAATATCACAGGCTGCAAGAGGGGTTGTTAACTCTGATCAGAAATATTTCAGAAGGTGTTACATCTGCAACCACCCCACCATTATTCACCTGACATGCTGATTCTTACTGTGCCCAGCCTTTTCACACCAATAAAACATAAATTTTCTTTTTGTCAGGACTAGCAAGTTGAGGTTTTCCCATTGTGTTAAAAGTGCTATATAAATACAAATTATTTTTTGGTTTGATATGTTGTTAGGTTGCTGTTCCTAAAAGTAGTAATTTTTAAATGAGTAGATAGTTGTTTCTTTATATTATGCAATTGAACCAGAATTGTGGATTCCATCAAGGCTCAATCAGTGACAGTTCAAGTATGATACTGAGTAATGTGTGAGCTGGAAGACAAAAGCAAAATACCGCAGATGCTGCATATTTGAAATAAAAATAAAAATGTTGGAAACACTCAGCATTCAAAGCCAGGTGGGATCCCTGTTTCATTTGCAGGTAATCTCACATATTTAATAAGAAGAAACATATCATAGAACATTTTCAACACAGGTGGCCATTTGGCCCATTGTGTTTTACCAGCTTATGGCCAGTCACAGAGAAATATCACTAACCAGCCTTGTTCCATATGTAACTGACAGATGTAATGGGTTTGATCACAGTACATCCTGTGGCAAATTATTTCATGCAATATTCAAACACCAAGTGGCAACAAATTTCTGCTAATTTGTTCTTACACTTTGTGATTATTTTATCATCAGATCCCTAATTAGAGGATAGAGCCTTTCCCTGTTGCCACAGGGTGTACTGTGATCAAACCCATTACATCTGTCAGTTACATATGGAACAAGGCAGGTTAGTGATATTTCCCTCCTGGCTTTATCAAAACCTTTCAGATATTCTTGATGCTTTTCCAAACTGAAATAACATTTTCGCCAAGCAGAGGCTTATTGAGATTTGATTTATTGGAGATAGACAGTTAATGCCTGATGCCTGGAAAGTTTTCTTCTGCTGTCCATTCAAGAAGAATCTGGCTTTTCTAATTCCATATTTTCATAGAAACCCTACAGTGTGGAAATGGGCCATTATGGCCTAACAAATCCACACTGACTCTCTGAGGCCCATCCCACCCAGACTCACCTCCCTACCCTATCCCTGAAACCCTGCATTTCCCATGGCTAATCCATGTACCTGAAAATCTCAGGACACTATGGGCAATTTAGCATTGCTATTCCACCTAACTTACACATCCCTGGATACTATGGGCAATTTAGCATGGCCAATCCACCTAAACCGCACTGTGGGAGGAAACTGGACCACCTGGAGGAAACCCATGCAGACACGGGGAGAATGTGCAAACTCCACACAGCTGAGATTGGCATTGAATCCGGGTCCCTGGCACCGTGAGGCAGCAGTGCTTCCATTGAGCCACCATGTCATCTCCTTGTAAAATATTGATTCTGATTCACTATTTCTGCTTTGTCTATCCATTAAGATGAGAGTGGAGTTTTATTTAATTAGTTCATGAATGTGGTTTTTCTGGTTTGGCCAGTATTTATTATCCATTTCTAACTGCCCTTGAGAAAGTAATGGTGAGCTGCTACCACCACTGAGTATCTGATATAATTGGTCAGACGTGACCTAATTAAGTGAAGGACCAGGTACAGGGCTGTTTGAACTCCCCATATGGCTATGATACTATCAAAGTAGTGTCAAAATTACTCAGTGCTTCCAGTTAAACTTCATTTTTAAACTCAAACATTTTTGGTTCATGAAAAGGGAGATGATTTGGTTATAGATGAAATGGAGGGTCTCCCAAACAGGAAATAATGTAGGAAATTTAACCTGTGGTGTGATTGGAATTGAGTTATGGTTGTCACATGTACCACGATACAGTGAAAAGTGTTGTTTTGCTTGTTATACAGGCAGATGGTACCATATAAAGTGCACTAGTGTAACAGAACAGAGTTACAGTGTTACAGCCACAGAGAAGGTGCAGAGACAGAGATCAGAATTAACATTTGAGAGGTCTGTATAAAAGTCTGATAAGAGCGGGGAAGAAGCTGTTCTTGAATCTATTCATATGTATTCAAACTTTTATATCATCTGCCTGACAGAAATGGATGGAAGAGACTACAACAGGATGGGAGGTATCTTTGATTATATTGGTTGCTTTTCCGAGGCAGCAGCAATTATAGATGCAGTCAATG